CCTTAATAAGGGGGGTCGACTGCTACCGACTGCTCGTTCACCCATCACCTATTACCGACACCTTTCTACTCTATTTATAACGGACGCCCTTCCATTCCGACAAAGCCGCGGCCTGCCTCCTCTCGAGAGCTCCATTCTCCCTGAAACGGGGAAATCCGGAGTACCGGGAAGGTGAATGAGCCTGGCAGGAGTGTCACCGATACTCCAAGGACTTTGCATCGTCGTGGCGAGCGATTAATTGATTAATGCGACGTGAGATTTTACGTGCCGTCGAGCCCTCTTTTCGGGCTTTAGGGCCCTAACGGCACTTTATCAGCGCTTATTTGGACATGCGAGAGCCATGGCTTTCTTACCTGCGCTAATCTCATCGGGAACTCGCGACCCTTTAACGCGCTCTCTCTCTCTCTCTCTCTCTCTCTCTCTCTCTCTCTCTCTCTCTGTTACCGTAAACCGTTCATCCTGCATCGTATTCGGAAAATACAAGCCTTTGCTTTCCACAATGCAATGATTGACAGGTCAATTCTATTATAAGCTTAACGTCAAGCGCCACTATATTCCGAATTATCTGTCTGTAGATTAATATGCTGATTAGTTCCCAGTCTCTTGTCGATGCAGATTTTTACTTGTAATTAAGAGATAACAGCTCCATGGATTGTTAAAAATAATATAGCCGAGCATTATTATTATTTATTCCCACAATAAATATTCCTTCATAATATATTCTTCTAATTTGTAAGATTTACCAAATGGAATACTGTTGTTTGAACACTAGATAGTCTCGATGGCTAACACGAGGGATGAGAGAGAGAGAGAGAGATAGATAGATAGATAGATAGATAGATAGATAGATAGAGAGAGAGAGAGAGAGAGAGAGAGAGAAAGAGAGGAGATTAAAATTCCAAAAGTCAACCCGTTGTAAATGCAAATTAATTTAACATCGATCGAGCTCAGCCAATGGCAATTTGTTAAGTATGTTTAGTATTCGCTATGATAAACAAATCCAAGCTTGTTTAATATCTAGAGTAAGACAAAACTCTTACATTAAACATTTTCCTTTATATTGATATCGCAATCTAATGATGTTATTGTCGACGGAGTAAATTAAGTTTTAATGCTTTAAACTACTTTTATAATAGGCTTGTAGTTGTGCGGTTATTTAAATTCAGGATGCAGATTACTTAAAAGTTTATTTAACCTTTTCATACGAAATCAATCGATATACATTATGATTTTGGAGAAAGGAATTTTTTACGCTAAGGTTATTTAATAATATACCGATTAATTTCATGTAACAATGTACCAATAATTAAAATAACAAGGTATGCTATAGAGTGAACGCAAAGAACGCAAGAAATTGCAATTCCTTTAATGCTTGATGCGAGCCATTATTTTGATTGTTGTGATTGTCATTACTTAGCTTTTATGTTACTCTATCATATCTCTCTCGCATCTATTAATAAGGGCTCGAGGAAATAAATCCGATCGCGCTGCGTGATAACTAGATTATACGCGCTTCTCCCGTTCTTTAGTGTCTCTCTGTATCTCTATCTGCCTCTTTCATGCATTCATCCGCTCGTTTACTTGCGCATATAGTCAGTCGAGCGAGGCGTAATTCGCTTGACAGAAAAGCCAGGGTGTCACGCTCTTTAACCTCCACGCCAGCAGCTCTTTTTCACTTAGTGCTATTAGTTTCTAATGGAGGGAGCGCGCAAACTTATACACTGATTCATAATACTTTGTGTGTTGTTTATGCCTGTCTGAATGTGTTGCGTTCACGTGCGGACATATATATATTTATATATATATATATATATATGTATATATGAGGGCGCGCGTGTGTGTACCGAAACCGAGGGAACCGATGATTCGGCATAGAATGAAATTTTCACGCTCATAATCCAGCCTCTTTCATATTCCTTCGCGCGCCATATCGATTAACGTAATTAATAGTTTCACTATATGAAATGGGAGGAATGGTACAATGAAAGAAGCAAATAACAACGACAACAACAACAAAAAATTAAAATTAAAGCCAACGCACGTTAATTGCGTTAAAATATACACACTGGCAAAATATTAAGAGGGCTCATTAAAAATGCCATGACAAAAAAAAAAAAAAAAAAAAAAAAAACTCTTTACATTTAAACTCGATAATACTAATGTAAAATCGTGAAAGCGTAAAACATTAAAGGAAGAATTCCTTTGTAAATATTGTTTTAAAAATACGTCTCGTGTAGTCTTCGTTCGTTCAAATAAAAATTAGAGTAATATTTTAATTTAAACCTCAGAAATCTGCATAACTACATGCATATTTCTATTAATAAGTACCATAGAAATTTATAATATATTACACGCATTTAGATTTACATAATCTTATCATTTTTAATTTGAATCAAATTAAATGTGTGACTTTATTTAATGGATAAAATTTAGTTTATCAAGTTTACTAATTTTATAGCGATACGTAATATTCATTAAAAACAAAATATTAATAATAATGATAATTGTAAAAAAAAAAAAAAAAATATTATATTTCTCTGAAATATCATTAATACGCTACGTCAAGATAATTTTATACGTGCACGTGTGACTTACATATGGATTCATTTTTTTATGAAGTAAGTGGATAATTTTATCTTTAAAAATTGCTCTTGCTTAATTGGTTTTGCATTTATATCACTGGACATTAAACCTCAAGTTTTAACATTTTTATCTAGGTATTTATTATCAATGATTTAATAAAGTGGCTCCTGGTGTATAAAGATATTTAAATTATTAAGAAACCGTTATCGCTACCGTAAAAACATCATTTTTAATATGGAATACCATTATGTCTGACTTATTGTATTTTATTTACAAAATCGTGATTATTTATTAGCATTCGAATTATTATTAATTTAACAATTAACAAATACTATTTAACAATTTATTAACATTACAAATAAACTTAATTTTCCTTTTTAGTTTTCACGATAGAACAAAATTATTTTTTTTTAAAAATTGAAAAGGTATTTTTTTTTTTTTTTTTTTTTTTTTTTTTGTCAATAATACTCGGTCAGATTATAAGTTTATAATTTTCGAAAATAGAGAATGAAAAATACAAGTTAAATGACTATGTTAGTTTTAATGTAGAACTAAAATTACACAATACTTGAACAAAATTATTCTAATCTAATAAGTGATAATAGCTATCGCAATTTGAAAATATGAATATCAATTATTAAAAGGATAGAGAATTTAGCAATCAAGATATAAATAAATTATAAGTATAGTTGACAATGTATTAACGTTAATGTATTATTCTAATGTACTAAATCAATGCACCTAAAAGATATTGTAATTAGGTACTTAAACTAAAATTGTTATTGTTATTTGTTCACTACAGATTATCTCGTTAATGATGATGATATGATCATAATAATATATTGTGATAATAAAATAATTAACTAATGGCGATTCTTTAGGAATGAATTAGAGAATTACATTTTCAATATAATAATATTGAATAGTGGCAAGAGAAATCTTCATTAAAACAAATACAAAAAAGCGCGTGTGCAAGTTGTCACCACTAGATTTATTTTTCTACATTCATTCGATTAAATAATTCATCCATTAAATCATAACTTTGATGCTAATTTAAAGATTTAATTTTTTTACGTATTTTAATGGTAATAAAGTATGAAAGCTTTTTTGCTTTCACTATCAGTTCTAATGATAAGCATAATCTCTTGACGAACACGATTAACGTCGATATCTTTGCTTCTGTTATTAATTAAAAGATCTACGTTAGAGAGCGATGCTCTTAATGAAAAATAAATTTTTCTACTTCTTGCATGAGTCCTGTAGCACTCGCGGTCTCGGAATAATTTTGAGCGACTGACTAAAATCGCAGCTATTCACTGACCAATAACGAATTTTGCATAATTGTCTGAAGACTCAAGCCCGACACATAAACATTTCTATTCGAAATATTTAATAACTGATACGATCTGAGGCTCCCCCCGACATTAGCGATTATTCCTAAAAGAGTGCAAGTCATTGGGCAATGATGAAGAAAAGCGGATTGATAAATGGAAGAAAAATAAGATAATGCGACGGGAGTTAACGATGAAACACATCGGGGCAGCAACGAAGTATAATGCGGATCGCGAGCTAGCGAATAGATAATTTTCTGCAACGATACGACTACAGCCTCTACGTTATTACATGATGAAAGAGAGAGAGAGAGAGAGAGAGAGAGAGAGAGAGATAGAGTGAGAGAGAGAATATTGTCATTCGGAAATCGGCGGGTAATTGAATGAGAGACAGGACTCGCGGCAAGGCTGGATGAAAGCAAGTTAGCAAGGAAGGAAGGAGGAAGGAAGCCTCCCTCCTCTCACTTGCTCGACATCGCTCACGCTCGCGCGAACGCTCGGGGTTCTCTAGCTTTCAATAAAAATGTAAATATGGCGGCAGCGCAACGAGCCAATGACAGGGCTACAGCTTGCCGTTGAGAGATAGAGAGAGGGAGAGCCAGAGAGGGATATCTCAGTGGAAAACCTGGTAGGGGCAATCGTACATACACCGCCACCTCGAGAGGATTACGCTCTCCCTCCACCCTCTCTCTCTTTCTCTCTCTCTCTCTCTCTCTCTCTCTCTCTCTCTCTCTCTATCTATCTATCTATCTATCTCTCACTTCACCCCTCCCTCTCGGGTATACATGTATACCCGAGTACAAACGAGGGAGAATGCCATGCCGTCGCAACCGCAACAGGAAACGTCCATCTTTACTCTTCTTCGAACTCTTTTCATGGCTTTCCTTTTACTCCCATTTCGTCACTTTTATTCCCTCCCTTAATTAACGAATTCCAGGCCGCTTGCGCTCTCGGTAAATAACTCTTCCCTCCCCCCTCCTATCGATCCCACCCCACTCCCCCGCACGACCCGTCAACGCTCTTAATCGACAATTCTCAACTCCTTCTGAACGGAATTTCAAACCTAAACATTCTACTCGTATGTACCTTGACTTGGGACTCGGACATGCCGAGGGCGTAAGCGAGCTTGGCTCGCTCCGGACCCGCGAGGTACTTGGTCTGCTCGAAGGTCTTTTCCAGAGCGAATATCTGCTGGCCGCTAAAGGTCGGCCTCGTGTGCTTCTTCTTCCCTGGCTCGTGCTGGCCTCCGGAACCGCTCCCGCCGCCGCTCATCGCCTGCTGCTGGCAGCCCAGCTGTTGCGACACTGTAACAAGCCACCTTTAATGACACTTGCCGCCATCTACTCGGCATTATTACTTATTGTTAGCTGTTCTTTCGGGAGCGTTGCCATAATTTGCTATTTGAGGCAGCGAGGATTATGGGGGTGGGGGTGGGGGGACTACTGAACGTGGAGCTAACTTTGGCCACGTGTCGTTAAGCGAATGGTAAAGAAGCTACGATTTCTTATTAGTCCAAATGGTTTGCTTCAATAAGGCATTATTCGAGATTAATGGCGGTACGAAATAAGGACAGGTATTTTGTGGTGACCGTGGAATTTTCAAAAGCACCTTATCGCATGACTTATTATTCAAATCGACATCGTTTATACTCTACGTTCCCCTCTTGTTTTACGGATATCGTTGCACAATATATTTGCAAATTGGAAATTTTAATAGACAATGACTCCGCTTGGCTCCATCATGGCCTTCATTATCTAATCAAGATATTCAAAATTCCAACATCTTTCTAGTATTCATAATGCTATTACTAAAGAGCATTAAAGCACCAGAGTAATTCACGTATGCCGTTACTATTCTAAGCGAAACGGTTGTAATTGCAGCGCCGCCGCATTATTGTACTTTCAATGTGTAAGCTTTTCGATCCTTCCGCATCCAGTTGATATTGCAAAACAACTGTAATGCACTTATTTGTCTTTTGCGGAGTATGATTAAGGCATACTTTATAATAAAAATGAATGTCGTAAAGTAATAATTTCAAATAATCATCATAATATAACGAAGCACATTTTTGCAACTACGAAATTTGATTTATATTCACTTCACCTTAAGCGGCTGATTCTAAAATTGCAAAAGTAATTTTTCAATAATAAAGAAGAAAAATTCTATTAGTACTTGACACTTCCATTCATAGCGAATGCAAATATGAGATGCAAAATCTGAAGTCTCCCTCTTAAGCATTAATTTATTACTAAATTTAGTACAATACGTTTTTATATACTTTCACATCTAATTACAATTATAATCTAAAATTAAAAAGAAAAAACAAATTTATTGTCGACTACTGTCAGAATTCCTTCTGATACATTAGTCTGATTTAATGATTTTATTACGAAATATTTACTACAATTTATAGTTAACAACCGCAGCTATAATGTGCAATATGGATGATCATTATGTTACTGACCGGGCACATATGTTGGTTATGAAAAAAAAAAAAAAAAAAAAACGCTTTTGGAAAGATTCAATTTTTTTTCTTAAATTTATATATTATTAATGATAATTTTACATGTATATAGATGCGCACATATATAAATATATATTATATTATTAAATAATATTAAATTACTAATGATATTAATTATTTGTTTTTAGCTAAGAAATAAACAATTTTTATAGAAATTCTGCGATAATTGGTCATTAGTTTTCAGTTTATATTTCATGCTCAGTGCTTTAGAACATAATAAATTTTAAAAAAACTATGGGACTATTATAAATTAATCTTCATAATATTTTTTCTTTAATATTTATTTTTATTTTAATTTAATTACTTCTTTTTTTCTTTTTTTTTTATTCAATAACCATTTATCGATTATCGTGTGAAATAAATTTATTAATAATAATATGATTAAGTTAAATTTTCATTATTAATTATTGTTATTATTAATTGCCAAAATTAATTAGTATCAAGGATTTTAATGTATTAGTATTCTTATGAAGGAGAAACATTCTATTATTATATGATGAATACGTATAAATATAAAATCGACATCGTAATCAGCTTCGTTCTTTTCAAATCAGAATCATTAATTTCCATAGCGGAAATGTCGATTATACGAGATAAATAATTTAATTTTATTTATTTCAAACAATCATTACCTTTAAATATGCCAAATTTTTTTTTTGTATTTTTTTTTTTTTTTTTTCATAGATTTAATAGTAAAATTATTATCAATAAAATAAAATAATTCATTCACAAGATAATATAATATTAAATATTAAACTGGAAAATGTATGTGTCATATTTTAAAATTTATATTTGCGCAAAAGTAAAATATAGTCATTATCCTATTAATTCTCATGTATTAATTAATTATAAAGAGACGAAATAACGCAGATTAGCGTATGCAGCTGATGCAGTATGCGCAGAATTTTTAGAGTTTGCTTATTTAGTAGATTAAAGGCTAATTTATCAAGTATTAAGATAATGTTTGTTGTATTGTATTTTTTCCGTACTAGAACTGCTATAAACGAATTTAACCAATAAAGAATTTAAAAACAAGATATACGATTTTTTTGTTTACGTTTACGTGTAATGTCTGGTAACTTGAAAGTAATTTGCAAATGCGACCGAGCCATTTAAGGTTTAATTATTAAGGAGATAGTAGTAACTAATTATATATCTACCAATGGGACATTGTAAGTAGTGCACGCGTGCGCATATGCCCATAGCATTCCTAATAATTAAGAAAGGAGCTGGCGAGACTATACTATTAATTTAACTGCTAACTACATAAAATGTTTCGTTACTTGAAATGATAAAGAAAGGAGTCTCTGTTATGTTAAAAATCTGCAACTGATCCTGCTACGTGCTCGGAATCGTCCTACGTACTCGCGTTTTAGTAAAATATTATTCTCTATATGGTTGTTGTTGAGAAATTTTCTTGTCGAGACAAACATTTCTCGATTAGCATGCCGACTGCCCTATCCTACCAATGGCTATCAGAATGCATGAAATTATCTTTTATGGGTGTATATAATATACTAATCCTATTTTAAAGATGTAGCAAGTAATTAGGCAAAGTATTTACCTCTCTTTCTTTGGCTTTCGTCGCACTGCTTTATGCGTAAGTGCGCACACGTCCGTACGCTGTAAAAGCAGGGAGAAAGACCTTTAATTTAATAAAGCAATTTGTAACGGAATACGAAACGAGGCAATAATGGCCGCTCGGCCGCTCCGGGGAGGGTCCTAACGAGCTGCTTACCGCATTCCACCCTGACCAGGATGCGCGACACTCTGTTCATCCAAAGTCTTTCTCTCACGCACGCGTCCCGTGAGCGCGCACACTCCCTCCCGACCCCCACCCACCTCTCTCTCTCTCTCTCTCTCTCTCTCTCTCTCTCTCTCTCTCTCGCACGAAAGCGTCGCCTATGATTATATCGAGTCTGTATCGCTTATTGTGTGCCTTATGTTCGCCCGCTTCCATGCCTAACTCTCATATGCCTATGAAAATACGAATTCTGCTACCTCTGTGCCAAATCCATCTCCTCTATACATTGTTACGCAGCTGTGAGCAGATCGCAGGTCGTAATTTCGTTTTACGCGTCATTATAATGGCGATATATATGAAAGGTGCGCAAAAGCTTATATTAATAAGCTTTTATCGACGCTTACGAGCGATATTTGATTGTCAAATAAAGAGGACGGCGCATTTAACGGAGATGAAGAAGCTTTAGGAAGCCGCGGAGACAAATCGTTGCATCATGCGAAACCAAGTGATATTAAAATCCACGAACTCTTGTAAATGGATATCCACGTATGCGGGCGCGTGCACGCATATCCGAAATAAGACAGCGGGAGTGGGAAAGAGAGATACAGCGATAAAGGGAATGCGCACACGTGCGCGACCAGCTAATATATAGGATACATAATAGTATGTATAAAGTGAGCATGAAGCTTGAGGCTGACCGTCGCCTCGCTTAAGAGGGTGCCAGTTGGATCTAGACAGAGATGCGTGCGAGCAGCCGGACGGTAAGGAGCGAAGAGGACGAGAGGAAAGAACAGGATTACCCTTCGATATCATATTCAATATCACGCGAGTCAGCCCTCCTTCGTAGCTCCCTCCGATATCCCGACATACCAAACCCTCCGCAAAATGCCCTTAACTTTCAGACCGTTCAGACTCTTTCACTTGCCCTTTTCCCGGCTCTTCTTATATATTTTCGTTGCGGACCCTTATTCCCCTTATAAGATTCCTTTTTGTTACACTATTGTACATTCGTAGCGTATCGATGATTCACTGCAATAATGTCAGCGCTTTAAATAACTTTTCCATTCAATCATTTAACGTCAATTGCCAATTAACCTTAGCCGATTTATGTATTCGACGAGGCGCATAATGTAATGTTTCGATCGAGCCATTCCGTTTACGCGTATTGGCTCGAGGCTCGTTAAGTCATAATTGCCGATGATCTTATATATCGACGGATTATACGTTCGCATTAGCGCACTGTATTCCCAACTCGTATCTCGCCTCTCATTATGTAAAATAAAAGACCTTCGATAAATGGATAACGAGGTGAATTTATTTTAATCATTTTAATCGCTCGTAATGCGTGTGCCTTACGATTAATATTCAGTCGTAATATCAACGAACTTGGGTCTCCGTCTTCCCGGCGGACTTTCTCATTCCTTTCATCAATCGCTCGCAAGCTAAGATAAAAGTTCCGAGTTTAGAAGTAGCCCTTGCTATAAATATATATTATTATTTATATATTATTATACATATATATATGTGTGTGCGTGTGTGCGTGTGTGCGTGTGTGCGTGTGTGCGTGTGCGCGCTCGCGTGTGTGTATACATTATTTTGTTGTTGTTTATTATTATTATTATTATTATTTTTTTTTTTTTTGCCAATGACACCCTCTCATGAACGATGGCTTATTGAATAAACATAGATGGGATCGTGCGCACGTTCGACTGGTGCGAGCGCGTATATTCTAGTGTTTTGTTAGCGAGAAATACGGGGTTACGAGCCCCGATTGGCGCATAAAGCATCTCCGGAGAGTCAAGAAATTATGCCGCTGGGACGACTCTGCACTCGTATGACTGCTCTTTTATTTTATTCGATTTTCAACCAATCGTCCACTTATGCCCGACTTGCGAGCATCGGTTATCTATTATCATCGCAATGTGATTTTACGATATCGTATGCATATATTGCCGTCTGGCCACTTCTTCCCCCCCACCCCCCGTCGAAGCCGC